CGGCCTAGAAATGTTCAGAGCTATGCAGTGGAGACGATCCATCTCCAGAAAGCTGCAGGCTAGGAAAGAACCATGAAGGCTCCTTACCAGTACTCAGAACAAACAGGAGCCTCTGAAGAAGAGAGAGGAACATTTATTCCTTCCAGCAGCCTGTGAGGTTGGTGGGCTCCAAATTTGTCACAGACTTAATGTCAGCTAAACTAAAAGAATGGGACCTGAGCAGAGCGGAGGGACGAGCACATTGTCCAGATTCTCATCACCACCACCCTTCCCTACCAGGGGCCTTGGCCAAGCAGGGAAATGGGAATATTGCTCTAAGCTCTGCCTATGCCAATATGAGACACTGCTGACTGCAGAAGGGCTCCAGGTGAGCATAGAAGCACCCGCTCACATGAAAGAAAAAAAGAGAAGACTCACAGAAGCTCTGGAGAGTTGCAGAAGTGCAAACCAAACCTAAGATTATGGATACATTTTTCCTCTTTGTGAGAAGGATCCAAAAGTCTTTCTGAGCCCTGACTGTAGAGCAGAACTTCAAGCAAAAAATGCATTACTGCATGGCCGTAATGCAAAGGTACCAAACGTCACTGCTCCTATTGAACCAAGCAACCCCAAGGTATTCAGTAACATCCTGTGGTCAGCAGCATGGACACCAAGCAATTTTAGGTGATAATTGCTGACCTCACCAAGTTTATTGGAGACTGAGATAGTCACATCTGACTTGAAAAGAGATGGACCAGAGTCCACCTGACCGATGCTGAACGGGCAGGGAGACAGGACTAAGCTGTGCAGCACCTCTAGCCCAAATTCCGCTGACTCTACCTATTAACCATCAGCTATTTGTTTCAATTTTCCATCCCACAAGTGGCTGAGTTGGTTGTCAGTTTACTCTGCCCGTAAGCGAGCTATTTCTATTCAAACTTCATGACGTCAAGGCAGTGAGCAAACCTCTCACACATTTAAACTCTGATCCGCAGCAGCGTAGGTGTAAGGGGAAATCCTGAACAAACACAGCTATCTGATTGCCGCCAGGGCAGGCAGTCCACCGACCTAATTACCTCTGTGAGCCACGCTGTGGGAAGCAGGATATTCTGCCTATCTGGGAAAGTAAGATCTCTCATGAGAAGAGCTGAGAAAAGCCAAGCAAACTAGTTTGACCAAGATAGCTCTTGGCATAGTGACACGGCTTTACAAACTTTTATTTGAATATCCTTTCACAAAGAAAGGCTGAAGCATCTTATGAGCACAGCTGCCACTCTCACAAGTAGTTGCTACTGTTGCACAGCTACTTTATCAGAGCAAAACGATACCTATATTTAACAAGAGACAGCTCACATTTGTATAAACTCAGGTGACACACAAGCCTGTGTGAGGATACACCATCGTAAGGTATTCTGCACAGAACATCTTGCCTTTTTTCCTAGGCTGGGAGGATTCAGAAAAAAAAAATCTATTTTTTACTACATATTGACATGCAGTGTAAGGAAAATCCTTTTACAGCAGTGATAAGTCACAGAAGTAACATATTCCAACTCAGTAATAACGATACAAGTTACACCACCTCTGTTCCAGTAGTGAATGGGAATGACGATTGAGGAAAAGAATTAGAGATCTGGCAAAGGTCGTACCCACTGGTGGATGACTTCTTTGCATAGCAGTGACACAGAGTAACCCTGAGAACGCAGGGTAAAATGGTGAGGATTTACCAAGCGCTATGGAGAATTAATCTTTTCTCTGCATGCAATATTGCTCAGAGTAGCGCCAGGATACTATGCCTTGTCTTTGCCTGCGTTCCAAGAGGACATAGATGAAATCCTGGAGGGCTCAAAGCCACCAGTGAGTGAACTGAGAGGCTTTCTTCAGATTGGACACTCACAGTGCTAATTTGTACAGTCCTCACAAGGAAAGAACAGAAAGTTTGTTCAGCGTGTAGAAATATTTGTGCCCTGGAAATACAGCTGAAAGCACAGGAGGAAAGGAGAAAAGGGATTCCAACTTTACTAAAATAGACCTACATCCAGTGACCAGCACTTAACATTAAGAAGATCTAACTTTGGAACAAGATCGTGTTGCTCTTTGTGTGGAACAGCTTGCTGGAGAGGAAAAGGGCTCATCACTTCCCAAACCAGAGACCTTTCTAAAGATAATCTTTAACCCAACTGCTCGGCAAAGCAGAACAAACTTGCCTGATCAAAACAGCTTCTGGTATAGTGATGTCAGTGACAAGCTTTTATGTAAAGATCCTTGAGAGCACTTCTACGAGTATGAAACTTTCAGAAATTATATAGGCTGAGAATTAGGCTCAACATAATTGTCTCTTTCATTGTCTCTTTCATACTGCAGACTTCTTTCTTGTTTATCCCATCATTTTTCGGCTCCCTTTAAGCCCTGCAGAAGCACAGAAATCCCAGTGTACAACTTCAGGAAATTCAGCCTGCTCAGACCTGGGCCACAATCAGTGTGCACAAAGTTTCATGCTTCAGAGCTTCTGACAGCAAGGTCCAACCCAAAATTATTCGTGCCGGTGCACAAGTGGAGATGAAGGGAGGATTGTGCTCCGAAGAACAAAGCCACGAGGAGAGATGGGAAACAGGCCAGGGCAGAAAGGGCATCACATCAGCCCATACTCCCAGCATGAACCAGAGTGCTCTTATTTGAATGACTCATCTACTTTTATTCTTCCTGGTTTATCCTGATTAGCAGCAGCAGAACAAATACACCAAAGACACCGCATAATTCTACTCCATCAGAAAGGACAAAAGTCATCTTGCAACTGAGAGACAGTTATCTACAAAGCCTGTGTATGGGCACAGAGAGTTGAGCATTGCCCAGCAATGTCTAGAGCAACTTTGGCTTTGTTGTTTTCCCCTAGATCTTTTTACCCCCCAACCCAGAGTGAGCAGGGTTTGCTTTTTATTATGCTAGGGTAGCTATGGACAATTCCATTTGCTGCAGGCCCACCCTGCATTCCAGTGCTGCTGCCTTGTTCCACTGGAAGGCCCTAGCAAGTGCAAACTTCTAAATTCTAAATTTTGCTTTGAAAAAGTGCACGTTTGGTCCTTTTAAAAAAGCATTTTGAGCCACACCTGGCTGTCCTGAGGGCAGAATTTGGCAGTGTCTCTTCTTTTTTCAGGACAATTATCACTGATGCTAGAATAACTACAGCTGTTTTCCAGGCAAGACTTAAAATGTGTATATGTGATGATATGAGAAATTGCATGGAGGACAGGAAACAAGCCAAAGTAATCATTAGCTGCTCAAAAACACCTTCAGAAAAAGCAGCATCGTAAACTTTATATGTATGAAAAAAGGAGGGCATGAAATAGCAGAGGAAGAAAGTGGAGAAAAATCCATATGGGTTGTATTGCCAAGAAGCTGAAACAGCTATTAAGAGAGTTGATAGCAAAATAAACTCAGCAGAAATCTAACCAGCATAATCACACCAACCACGGGGCCTGAGGATGAACAAGGAAAAGACCGTGAAAAAAGAAGAAAACCACAGTGGAGAAATAGGCTGGGTTTCCACCATGTAGACAACACTGTGCTCTAACATTTGTCCTACAAACACTATCCAAAGATAGAACTGAATGGCAAAACTCCCTCAGATTTTTAAGAGACAACCTGAGGCCTCCAACAGCAGTCACTCCAGGGCACCTTGAGAACTATGACACACCAAGAAAAATAATTCCCGTTGTGCTTTTACACCCAAGCCTACTTATACAGGTGAAATAAAATACTGGCTCAAGTCTATACTTATTTTAGGTACTGGTCCCAAACGAGACTGTTTCTGACTTTTAAACTGCCATTGCTAGTAAAAGCAAGACCAGAAACGCAACAGACACGTGACTCAGGATTACATCAGGAAATGAGAATTGCCAAGTCAAAGCGGCAGCTTGACAGCATACAACTTTAACATGGGGTCCAAGATTTCAAAAAGATGGCGTCAATTGCTGTGGACAATACAAGTAACTCCCAACACACAACTTACACTGGAAAGCAATGGAACAAGACGGAAGTTGGTTCACATAATTTGGCAGTAAATGAAAGCCAGAGGAAGTACCAGAAGGAAACAGCATCATGAACTGGTGGGGTGGCAACTCCAGTCGCGAGCTGAAACCAGTGTTTTGTCATAAAACCTGCAACACTTCTACATAAATGCTATTTCCATTTCTATTAACAGATGGGTGTGAGAAATGGAAACCTACCAACAGCATAAGCAGAGGTCTGCGCACCTCCATAAGCAGGAAAATATCTCAGGAAAATGCAAAGTATTAAATAGAATAGCTTTACAACAACCACCAAGATTTGTCAGAGACCAACAACTACTTATAACCTAAGTTGCTGCACCAATTGTCAGAATCCTTTCGACACACAGCTCTTCAGAAGAAGAAATCTTCAGAGATTCAGTACCAGAAAGTGCATGCAAAGAACAGCATGGAATAGTCTGGGACAGGGGAGCCTATTTTATTTTGCCCTAAGCAACATTTGATGGTTTGGATGGAATTCAGATTCAGAATAAAATAGGTTTGCCTTCAAAACAGATCACATAATTGGCTTTAGGTTTTAGTGCAATTTTCTTTTTAAATGGACCAAATCTTTAAGTTGCTCATAACTCAACTGTTCGAAAACAGCAACAACCTCACTGCCCCTAAGGAAATATATTCTTATCCCCAGACTGACATACATAGATTGGCCAGCCAAGCTGCGATGAAAACTGCTACAGCAGCAGCTTGAATAAAATAGCAACCAGCCGTCCCCAGACAGCCCTGAGAATTGCAAATCTAAAGGTGTGACTTCTGTTTCACAGATTTGCTTTACATCAATCACAACTACATAAAACCCAGTCCTTAATATCCATTCAGAACTACGAAGGCGGCTCAGCAGAAAGGGATGGAAGCGATAAGGCATTAAGATTTTATGCCTGTACTTTATATCTTGCAACAAAGCAATACTTCAACAGTTTGCTCAAATAAAGGTTTAAATCAGCACTCTGATCTGCTCACCCTTTTCAGCGGTATCCAGGGAAAGTTTCTTGATGTCATGAGCCAACGTGTCCGGCAAGTGGTCTTGTCCATGCTCTGCATCATTATCATCAAACTGAGCTTCGATAATGACATCCGGACCCTCAGCGCCGCCTTTTGCCGCCTCTCGAGGAACACAAGTCCCCAGCATATCCTCAGGGACATCTGATTCATGCGTGGCTTCTGTTTCTTTGTCACTACCATCTGGCTTTATTACCTGGAGGAGCAGGGGATTAAAAACAAGAGGCGAGCTAAATCACTGGACTGAAGAAAGAAAACATTATCTTTCTGTTTTCATGCGCATCCCCGAGGATCTGACAATGAATTGTGGGTGGCTGGTGGCACACTGCAATTGCCATGTAATTAGCCACAGATATTGCACAATCAAAAGTACCACCTCGCTAGGATAAAGATGGGAACAGCATGTATCCAAAACGTACTTAGAGCATAACCATCCGGCTCCTGCCAAGCCTCTAATCAGCTCCCAGAAGTTGGGAGTGAGCACAGCGATGGAGGAGGATGCGGTACAGCTGCAGGAGCTGCTCAGCCATTGTCCACAGACACAGTGCCCACCCAGGGAGCTCCCAGCACATGATTTGGAACGGACTGAAAAAGAACAGAGAGGAGAACACCGTGCCCTGTGACCTGGGGAGGAACTGGACTGTGGCAGCTCAGTAAGGCACCAACGTCTACATTTACTGTAGGCTGCTGCCTTTTTGTTAAAGGCACACCATTATTGCTGCTACCTACACAGATCCCCTAAATAAATTACCACGGGGTATGAATTCAGAGCATTTAACCAGTAACTAACTACCTGGTAGTTCAGACAAGTAACTGGCCACTGCTACAGATTTATCCCTGCTTTGGTACAGCAGTGGCAAATGGGGAGGAGAAACCATACAACGTATGCAGGAACCCTGTCCAGGTAAAGCCAACAACCGACAGGGATGACATCCCTCTTTGTGCACTGCAGGAACTGCTCTGCCTTGGTTACACTGATCAAAACAGTTCGCACCTTGGACAAGTTTGCTTCTCCTAGCATCTTCTGCACAACCAACAGCGAGCTGCAGCCAACCCAACCATGTAACCGACCCAAGCAATCCTGGAGCCCAGATTCAAAGCCGTGTTTAAGTTTCCCTCAAGCTGCAGTACATCAGTGCAAAATTCAGATCAGGGTGGGAAAAGGAATAAACCCACTGGAGGCTGCAGGCACCAAAAGCTGGGGAACCCCATCCCAAAGTCCTCCTGGCACCACTGCTGCTGGTGATCACTGGGCACGACACATGCTGGACGTGCTCCTCTCCCATCCCCAGTCCCCAAGCAAAGGGACCTCTAAAAATAAGGGAAAAAAGCTTCCCTGTAACAGATTTTTGATAATGTGCAGTCATCAGCAAGAAGGCATAAGCAGCCTCAAGAGGTCCTAGCTGGAGACAACCATTCCAAATGAGGAAAAGTACAGTCCAGAAAGCTCCACATTTTTTTGTCCAGTAACTAAAAAGCAAATAGATCAAATCAGACCTATGCAAGCAAGACTTCCAGAACTTTAAACATATAAAGCTACATCCATGCTTCCAAGCAGTACCCGTTTCTTTGTAATCTTTCCACAATATGTAACAGAAAATCAATTTTAAAATGGGGTTGAATTCAAGTCTTAAAAAAAGAAAAAAACCAAAAACCTAAGATGACATTACCCTGAACTCTTGTTACCTTTTGTGACTCTGCTTTCCATCTTTATTTTCTTTTTTTTCTTTAATACGTATATAACTCGTTACCATGGCAGATTCTGAATCAAACATTCAATTGTGGAAAGAAAAAAAAGGGGGGAGGGGGCAGAAGGTTTGGCAGAAGGTGGGAAAATTGCCTATTATTAAAGCTGGCTACATTCAGTACACAAAATACTGACACACAATGGTCTGGGCAAGAACAGTCTATTAGATTAGAGAGCTGAGAAGGCTCCACACGCGAGTGATGCTGCCAGTGTGCCTCTCCAAAAAGAAAACTAGTGTCAACAGTAATGTTTGGACCCTGCTATGGTCAGATGTGGATGTGCTCAGCTCTTAAGTTTCAGCTGCACCAGATGTGTGCAAGTGTGCAACTGCAGCAGGAGTTCATTTTCTTCAACCCCTTCACGCTTTGCCTGGGTGTTTTTTTTTTTCTCTTCTTAAGTCATTCTTTGGGAGTGTGGGATGTGTTTTGGGTGCTAAATCACAGATCTTTCTATATCTAATGCAGTTAACAACATCAAATAGATCTGAATGCTAGGAAGCACTCCTCTAAAGATGCAGCACTGACAAGCTTATGCTTGAAGAGTTTATGTTGTGTTAAAGAAAGCGGCAGATACTCATTTCCTTTTAAATGCCATACACTAAAATTAGCATGCTTCCCCCAAGCTAGGATACACACCACTGCCACCAGCTCGTGTGATGCTCCAGCTGTGACTACCTAAGCCCCCAGTCACACATTTCCTTACAGATTTGCAAATGGATTTTTGAGTAAAGTTTTCCAGAGTCTGCAAAATCGCAGCCTCCACACGGAGCAGAACAGCAAAACGTTTAGATGCTGTCAAGCATGGGTGATAGGATTGGTTATCTTTGTAAGGCCAAGACAGATCACTTAGGCTGACATAACAGAGCAGGGAATTTCACAAGAATTCTTACATCACATCAAAAACCTGGGGAAGCTGTACATCACACAGCTGGAAAGTTGCATTACACTTCACAAAATTTGGAGCTCAATGGATACAGTTATTCCAGTTAAGATCAAAGAGGCACTGGCCAACATGAGCTCATCACTCAGTGTCTGAAACACAGCAGCAGCCTATCTGACCAGCAGACTGACCTCTTCTTGTACGCAGCATCTTGGAAGATAGACACTTTCATTATTCTGCTCTCCTGTTTCTCACTGTGCTATTGGAGTTAATACATGAAATAATGCATACAGACAGAATAAATCAGAACTTCATCAGAAATGTCAAACAAATCAATTGTGCATGTCTGCCATACAGCCACACGTGCAGTTGAGCTCTCAGCACTTTGCACAGACCCACAAAGAGAGGATTCCCTTCTAGTGCATGACCCTACTGTCATGCAGACATCCCAGGATGCATGGTTGAAACCCACAAAAGAACCTTAACTTTCTGACTTGGGAAGTTAAACATCAACCTCACTGTTGTATTATTTTCATGCGCTCCTTAATTAAAACAAAAATACCTTTCAAGAAGCGTTTTCTTGACATTCAGTCGCTTATTTGAATGTTTGATCCTTAAGATAGTGGCTGAATAAGTTTTCTTCCAACTTTAAACAAACACCCATTGCTGAATAAGCATCAAGTTTCTGCCCCATAGTGATTGGTTTGTAAAGTCACAGATGACTGAACACAAGATCTTTGAATGAAAATCCCATCTCAACCATAAACGTAATAAAAAACAGCTAGTGGGCAAGTGCATCCTGGCATGAATATGCATAATTTGGACAGCAGAGCAATTACCTCGCTGTATCCAGGCCAGTCTTGAAGAAGCCATCAAATGAATGATTGTCCTTACTTGGGAGGAATCTGTTCCAGCAGAAAACTGAACCAGGAAGCCGTAGATTTGAAAGCATTGAGGGCTGCCTTCTGAGCCGCAGAGAATGGCTTTCTCTGCCAGCAGCAATCTTCTATCTGCCCCGTTAGCTCCAGACTTCTAACAGACTTTCCACTTAAGCCTCCTATCCATAGGAGAAAGCACAGGCCTGTTTACTCTCACACACTGGGCATGGTGTTTCTACTGCTGCTTTCCCAATGGCAACAGTTAACCACTCACACGTGTCTTCCATCTCCAACTACTGAGTTAGAGCAGTGACTTGCAATCTCCTTTCAGCTACGAATCCCCAGCGCTTTTACCAATACATGTACCAGCTCCCCAGAATACTTAACCTTGATCCTAATAGGCCTGCCTTTCCTTCTCACTCATCTCCGATCCTTACAAGCCACACATGGAACCACATCATCCAGGAGACACAGATACAGATGACTGCTGGACTAGGCATTGCTGGAGGTATGCACCTTGCATGGCTAAAACCTGCACACAGTGCCATTGTTTTCAACAGAAGCTCATGCAGAGTTCTCCTCCACTGCCAGCACCTTGCAGGTAGGGAAGTAGAATCACAGAAACATAGAGGATGGAGAAGATCAAGATCACCAAGTCCAACCCCAACCCACCCCTACCATGCCTACTAACCACAAGCCTCAACACCACATCTTCATGGTTCTTCAGCACCTCCAGGGCTGGTGACTCCACCACCCCCCTGGGCAGAGTATCCTTACTACAAGTATTTTGGACAGAGGTTTAAAAAAGAAAGTGAAATTCATCTCAGAATGCTTGCATTAGACAGAGGGACTAAGCTATTAAAGTTTAGACATTTCCAGCAGAACACACTCTTCCTGAGATTCTTCAGGTGAGGCTTCTCCACCATGCTGAGACATCAAGCGCTACTTTGAGCAGAGAGCATCTTAAAATACTCTTTAAACATCTCACTAATTGTGCTCGGTTTTCAAAATTGCTGTCCTTTCCCACAGCAGAACTGATTAAAAGTTTCAAAGAGAGCATTTGCTTTCACTTAGAAAGAAACAACAAATAGAACATGACTCATTCTTTAAAAAAGAAAAGTGCTTAAATGTGTTCAGATTTGACAATGAAGGAGTATGCTCGTGATATTTATCAGATTAGTCAAACTCAGTCAGCCAGACACCCTGGGAGGAGCCTTCTGCTGCTCCAGAACTCACCAAAGTCCCCAAAGGAGGTCCTGCTGTGAACATGCGGTAGGAAACCCACAAGAATACAAAACAATCCATCGAGAATTAGGTTTCTGGTGGGATTCCACGGAGGTCTGCAGTTGGCCAAGCATTCACAATAATCTGAAACTGCGTATTAAGTCACTGGTAATAAAACTTGTGGATGACAAAGACTTGCAGAGCAGTCAAGTTCAATTGGTGAAGAAGGCTGATCAGAATTCAGAACGTTTGAGAACAGCCAAAAGAAAACTCAAATATCTCAGAATACGTAGCACATGCCTGTGAATGGGTCTGCCTTGGAAGTTGCTGACTGGAAAGCATGTGGAAGATTTCTAACACAAATGTCAGCACTGGGATCCCTTCTGCTACAAACTGTAAAAGCAATCTTGGCTTTGTAACATCTCAGCAGTGGCAGACAGCAGGCTTGTGCAGTGCATCTCCTCATAC